AATCACATTGCAACTGTGTAACTGTTTATTGTGCCATATCATCACTGTAGCTGTTATTTTACTTGGTTACTATGCTGTTTTTTTCTGACTTTTGCCAAATTTCAACCTCAAATTATTTAATACCATTAACATTTCTAGCTGCAAATATTTAATAGTTTTGTATACTTGCCACTTGATGTACCACTCATAGCTTTATTGGGGAAAATACTTAAAAATTTGTATTTGTTATTAATTTTCAACAAATATTTAAGTGTAAGTAACTTCAGATTGGTGAATCTAATGAAGTAACAAAATAAAACTTCTTTCTCATTTGTTGTACAGGTTCGTCGGATTCTGGCCAATAGCATCTGCTCTCAGGATGGCCAAGTGGTAGTTGGAGATAGGTTGGTCTCTATTAATGAACATACAATGAAAAATATTCCAATGATGCAAGCTTTGGAATTGCTTAAACACAAAACAGAACATGTGAAACTTGTGGTGCTACGGGAAATCAAAAATAAGAAAGCCATTGATCAAAATCTTATAGCAGCTCCTGAAAAGGAAAGAGCTGTGTCAGAACATCTATCATTACATTCCTGTGATGAGAAGGATCAGCAACATTCATCTATTAAAGATGAAGTGGATATTGTGTCGCAGAGTTCATCAATACATCTCACTGATGAAGATGATGGAGATATTGATGATGTATTGATGCTTGAGACTGAGTGTCTCACTGATGATGACAATGAGAAGGAGGAGGAGGAGGAATCTATTTATCATACACCAATCCAAAATGCATCAGACATTAGTAGTGTGAGTGATCAATTGGAAGCAAGTATTTATGAAACACCAAAATATAATGTTGATTCAGACATTGTAGATGCACCATTTATTGATAATGAGGCTTTGTTAGAACGAAATGATAATTCAATAGAAGATTGCGATGATACATCAAAATCTGTGGATGAAGAATCAGCTAATACTTCTAGATCAGCATCACCTAATGATGATATTGATTTGATCAATTCATCATTGACTGTAGACATACCTCTACCACCACCTTTACCGTACAGTGTACCACCACAACAACCATCACCACCAATGTGCAGTATACCAACATCAAATAATACTGATTTGTTGACATTAAAAGATGAACCAGTGTCTGCTGACTCATCCACTTCAATCTTATCTGCAGCTCATTTGAGTCTCTTAGATCATGAACCTCCAATAATTGTTCCCCCTCCTCTAGATGAAATAACCAATCCTACTGAACCTTCATCTTTACGTCCCCCACTGCCACCTACATGCCCTCCAGAACTGCCAAGGAATCCACCTCCTGACGAGATTTCAGATGTATATCCACAGAAACCAACATCACTTCCACTGAAAGAATCACCTCCAAAATCACCAGACCTGAAAATGACATTCCCAGTTAAGATGAGCCCAACTAAAGCTCAACCAGGTCAAGTTCACTTTTTACCCCAAGCATTAACTCCACTACGTTCACCACCAAAAATTGGTGCTAAATCACCTCCAACTTCACCAAAATCCAGTCCCAATGAAAATGAAGTACATCCAAGAGGAAGAACTTGTCTACTGAAGCTATTCCCAAAGAGCACAGTTGAAGATAGACACAGTACAATCAAACCCCGATCTGTCTTTGCAACGTCTGCTACTCGATTACTTGAAAGCAAAGTTGTGTCCAAGTAAGTTTTATTTGTTATTGCAACAATACAATCTCTATGGAAATTGTCTCATTGCTGTCAAAAACATGTTTGCATGTTTCATATATGGAATTTATGTAGACAATAAACCATAAAATTCAAATTATAATATAATCAATCCAAAACAGATAATTTTCCCTATTTAATTGGTTCATCACACTGGCTGCTACTTAAACACCCTATGCATGCTGGGAAATTATTATATGTACATGTAACTATCATGCTACAATTTCTAAGCTGGAAGAAAATTGTAAGCTGTGTTTATGCTAATTAAAAGTACCAGTACCAGTTACCAGAAATTTATTCTTCACATCATTAAATCCTAAAAAAAATGTGCAAATAGTCATTATAGATTTCAGGCTACTAGCTTTGAGCTCAAATTCTAAAAATAAAAAAAAAACTTGTTGTAGTTTACAATTATTATTTATGGATTATTGTCTGTTCTAGGTACAAGAGATCTGAGGTGGGACCTTTCCTGATTCAGTTATTGAAAGGGTTCCGTGACCTTGGTGTAAAAGTAACTAATGATGACAGTGGTCATGTGATTATCAAGGAGCTACCACCAGGGGGCGCTGCAGCAAGAGATGGCCACATTAAGTGAGTTCACTTTCAGATATCACCTTTATTGTAGTATGTAAATATGCATTTTGGTAGCTGTGCTATTCCAGTTATTATATGAATACTAGTATGTTATCTCTGACATAGTTAGGAACGCCACTCTTTGATTGAAACTTTAGGGTGAACCCATCCCATTTCATGACACTTAATCAAAATGTGCAAAATAAGTGTTTTCACACATTTTTAGTCCCCATTTACATACATGTAACCAATGGCAAACATGGTCGTGACAGGTACTATACAATTCAGAATGTGATATCATTTGGCTGAATATTTCTCATCTTGAGTTACTATGTTAGCAATGTAATAAAAACATTTCAAATTGTACAATTATCTTTGGATTGGTAATTTTAATATTGTGATTTTTTTTCGAACGACTTAAAAGTGGTGATGTAAAAATAAATTTTGATTTGTCATTCAAAGTGATTTTGTTGTCATAAATTGTAAATTAATTATTTGAAAAAAAATGATCTACACTAATTTATTTAATAGAGAATCCCACAAAGCGAGTATACTATGCGATTTTGTCCAGTTTCACATACACACAAGCGATAGCAAGTGTCGTATCGTGTGAACTTGGTATACTCGTATTATATTATACCTATTTCATTTTAAAAGTAATTCTGTGACAAAGTACCTTAAATGATTTACTCATAGCTGTGGTAAAATAAAGATGGTGTCTGAAGTGGTAGCATAAATTTACATTCGTACTAATTTCTTGTTAGTGACTACGTTGATATACGTAAAATCGTCTCAATCAAAATAATTTCAACACAATATAACCATTGACAAGTGCCCAATAAGTGTGAGCCATTGTTGACAACAATCACTTTTATGGTGTTGTTCGTGTAATTCTGAAAATATTGTTTTTCTCATGCTGCTTGTGGGAACAAAAAATATCTGATGGTCACATTGTTGTTCATCTTGCACTATATCCATAGGACGGACAGACAGACAGACAGACAGACAGACAGACAGACAGACAGACAGACAGACAGACAGACAGGACAGTTGACAGAAGGATTTAATCCTATTGAGTGTTATTCTAAATACTAAACACAGAAAACTATCATGGTATATCGTGTATGTAGCCTAATTAAAAACATGCTGTCGACCAATCAGAATGATGTATTCAGGCAATTGAAATGCTGGTATAATAATTTTTACTTGAGTATTTATCCTATAAGATTGATTCACAATCATTAGTAATCATAGAAAATAGTAGGGTTTATTGAAATTGTTTCCCCGTTAAAAAATTTAGTGTCTTTACACACAACAATTAATTAAAAATATCTCTTGTTGCCAGGATGTACTTTACATAGTTACATTGAGGATAAGGGTCTCATCGTTTGTGCAAATATCTCCATATTCTTCCACCTTTGTACTCTGATTTAAATTTTGCGTACTTCCTCGATCATAAGCCCCCTCCCCGAGTATAAGCCCACCCCTCTATTATTAAGACATTTAACGAGTTTAACCCTGATGTTGCAATACTGAAGTAGTATGTTTTACAACTTATAAACTCCACAGCTGTCACACTGAACAAAAGCCATATGTTATTGGCATATGAATATCCATTAATTTGTAAAAAAAAAAAAAATTAACCATGGAAAGCATTCAAATCATAAAATATCTGTTTTTCTGAATATGAAGACTCAGATTTTGAATATACATGGAATAAATCAGATTGCTTAGAGACAAATACTGCAAATAATTCATAATAATGGTATTTGGGGACTAGACACCAAGACACCAATGTGTTACTATGGCAATAGCCATTTTATCTAGTACGGTTAATAAAATCTGTATCTGGCTTATCAGATTATATTTTTTTATTAATTTTTAGCTCCGCTGTCGACTTTGTCGAGCGGAGCTTATCATATGAGTGATTGTCCGTCGTCGTCCGGTGTCCGTCGTCCGTGTCAATGTTTTACATTTTTGACTTCTTCTTGAAAACTACAAGTCTGAATGTTTTGATACTTGGTGTATATGTACCTTGGGTAGACCTCTCTCAGATTTGTTCATTTCATGATCATATCTTCAATTCTCTAATTTTGGTGAATATTTTTGTCATTTTTGGTAAAAAGTGATATTTTCAACTTCTTGTTAGAAACTGCAAGTCCAATTGCTTTGATATTACATATATAGGTACTACATGTGGACCACTCTCAAATTTGTTCATTTCATGATGATATCTTCAATTCTCTAATTTTGATGAATATTTTTGTCATTTTTGGTAAAAAGTGATATTTTCAACTTCTTGTTAGAAACTGCAAGTCCAATTGCTTTGATATTACATATATAGGTACTACATGTGGACCACTCTCAAATTTGTTCATTTCATAATGATATCTTTAATTTTCTAATTTCGGTGAATATTTTTGTCATTTTTGGTAAAAAGTGATACTTTCGACTTCTTGTTAAAAAACGCAAGTCCAATTGCTTTGATATTACATATATAGGTACTACATGTGGACCACTCTCAAATTTGTTCATTTCATAATGATATCTTTAATTTTCTAATTTTGGTGAATATTTTTGTAATTTTTGATAAAAAGTGATATTTTCGACTTCTTGTTAAAAACGACAAGTCCAATTGCTTTGATATTACATATATAGGTACTACATGTGGACCTCTCTCAGATTTGTTCATTTTGTAATGATATCTTTAATTCTCTAAATTTGGTGAATATTTTTGTCATTTTTGGTAAAAAATGATACTTTCGACTTCTTGTTAAAAACCACAAGTCCAATTGCTTTGATATTACATATATAGGTACTACATGTGGACCACTCTCAAAATTGTTCATTTCATAATGATATCTTTAATTTTCTAATTTTGGTGAATATTTTTGTCATTTTTGGTAAAAAGTGATATTTTCTTCTTGTTAAAAACCACAATTATTTATGGTCAAAAATGATATTTTTGAATTCTTGTTGAAAACAGCAAGTCCCATTGCATTGATACTATGCATATTGTTCATTTTCTAATGATATCTTCTGTTCTTTAATCGAAATGTGCATTACTAACAGCGGAGCTATCTCAGCCGAGAGGCTGCTTGTTGGAGGATAGTTTTGGTAAAAAATTACATGTTCAACTTCTTGTTGTTAGTCCCTCTACAGTTTGCTTACCGGTAGATATTTTGTGTGTACGTGTGTTGACTTAAACTCATTATAATGTGTTAGTGTGTATGTGTGTTGACTTAACCTCATTATAATTTGTTAATTTTTGAAAATGTCTAAACCATTCTATATATTGCCAAATATTTTGATTATCATAAATAAAATGCTATTTTTAACTTGTTGAAAACTTCTGATATTTTTGTC